CACACACACACACACACACACACACACACACACACACACACACACACACACACACAAGTAGGGTGACTTCTACCAAGATGAATGATAAGCTTCCAGTGAATCACCATTATAGTTAAAATGGTCTCCAAACAATATTATCATTTACAGCAATAATTTCTGAGACAATTAATCATCCCACAAAATTTATTATTGCGATAGGCAATAAAAGACATTACATCTTTTCTTATTTAAAAAAGAAAAAAAACATTTATTCACTGTAGGAAGCGCTTAACAAGAACGTTATTCTATACTTTATGGTGACATTTATTATTAAAAGGTTTTTTTTCTTGTGTTAACATCCATATTTAAGCTTGCTACCTGAGAATTTCTGGAGGAGTTAGGATTTGTCCATCAAAAAGTGCATCAAACGTAAATATCCGTCCACGGCACATCACCACCAGGTGGGAAGGACACGGACCCTCACTTTCTGTGACAAACACACAAAAAATGTTTTACATAACGGTGACAGGTGAGCTGAAAGAGTAGGTGAAAGTTTTCAGGTGTGTTTGCAAAGATAAGAGTCTAGCTCCACCTGTCTTGAAGTAGTTACGAATGGTGTCCTTCTTCACTCCCGGCACTTTGCAGGTGCAGAAGAGCATCCTGAACTGATCCATGTCCCACGGGGTTTTGCCGGCCTTTTGAGGAGCCAGTCTCTCCCTAAAAATAAGCAGGGAAAATATAAAAAGTGAAGCAAACTGATGGGCAGACTAAAAGATAAGATGAGGCAGGAATCCTTGTGGACGATGTTTGCAAATGATGCTTTGATCTGTGGTGAGAACAGGGAACAGGTGGATATGCATTTATAAGAAGAGGAATGAAAGTCAGCCGTAGCGAGACAAGAGTTACAGTATGTGTGTGAATAAGACGGAGGCAGGTGGACTGTGAGGCTATGAGGAGCACGGACTTCATACACTTTGAGTCAACTGTCCCAAGAAAACAAGGCATGTGGTAAAGAGGTGAAGAAGAGACTCCAGAAAGGAAGGAGCAAACTTTCAGCTTCAGGACTGATTTGTGACAAAAGGACGGAAGCAAAAGTCAAAGGATAAGTTTACAAGAGTAGTGAGATCAGCTATGTTGTCTGGTCCGACAACATTACTATCATACTGTATGTTTCTGCAGATTCTCAGTCATCCAGGACATGGAAAATTAAAAGAACTAAGAAGAATCAACTGGACTTCTGTTCTGTAGCTGATGACGTGAAGAGCTACAAGATTTAAACTGCATGAGTTTGGTATCAATATTAAAAATACTTGGATCGATCTACTCACCTCCACCTCACTGACATAAAAATCAGAAGAAATGGGACATGAGCGTTCAGACTGTAGTCGCTTTGAAAATCATCAGATTTGTCATGTTCAGACCAACATGAAAAATGGGATATGGATCACATAGGGGCAAAAAAATCTAATTTGTTTCACATTTGTTTGCAGTGTGAACAGTCGTTGACAAAAAGACAGGAGACAGAATCGGAAGTGTCAAAACTTAAAATGTTGAGGTTCTATTGGGAGTGATGAGAATGGATAAGATTAGGATTGAGATCATCAGAAGTACAGCACAGGTTGAACGACTGGGAAATAAAGTCAAAGTGAAGAAAACTGATATAAAATGACCCTGACAGACCGCTTGTAGAAACGTTTAGGTGAGCATGTCTTACGTGCAGAGCAGGTTCCAGTACTGCAGCGTGTGCCATGTGATGATGCTGGCCCTCTGCAGAGCCACTCCCTCCGCCGGAGGCCAAACATGCTCCAAGTACGGTCCTGGGCCACCAAAGTTTACATTCAGCTGAGAGGGCATGCGGACCTCCAGATATGCTGTGTCTAACCACCATTCCTCCAGCTGAAGGAAACATTTATATTATAAAACTAAGTAAAAACATCCCTGTTTAATGTTAACTGAACTCAGCCACAAACCCAGTTTCTCTTTGATTCAGCTCTTTGCAGCAGCTTCTGATGCAGATCTTTGCCCACACCTTCTCTAAACTTCCTTATGATGTCCACTGTAGATCTAAACTCTTTCTCTGACGCAAACGGACGAACTGAAAATTTTAAACACAAACAACAGAACTTAAGCTCAGGAAAGTACAATTTAAAAAAAGGAAAACACTGAACAAGTATGGCTCACTTTTAAACACACTTGTGCAACATTTTGGTATAAATTATGGTAAATAAATGTCAATACAGTATAATATTAACAGATTATATTGTTGTTATTTGTTAAAGTAAAATGTATAAAGCCAGTAAGGACCAAGGTGCTTTTTGTAAGTTAAAATAAAAATAAGCAAAAGTTCAAACATCCAAGTGACACTGATGACCTTCTGAGTTTGCCATGTGGTTAATGAAAAACTAGCATCCAAAATGTTTGGACCTTTGACAAAGAGCCACAGAGGCAAGGGAAAATGACAAATTACATTAAATAATTTATATACAGAACTCTTTAACTTTTTGTCTTTTAATCTGAATTTAATCCTTTATTCATGAACGTGTTTTCACTTTGTATTGTTATATTTTGTATGATCTAATTTTTGCTCTTCTTTAACCAATTCTCAAAACTACTTGAGGTCAACCTGATCACTGATCAAAAAATCTGGTCTACAGAATTAAAAGACAAAAAGAGTATTATTAAACCTTTTCATTGTTTGTGTGTTTTGATAAAGGACTCAAAGCAGGTCAACAATAATCATATAATCAACATTTTCTGTACTAGTTTAAGTAAATATTTGAAACAGACATGTTAAACATAATAAATCTGAATTGGGTGAACCTGAAGACAGTAAACATCCTACCTGCATCCAGGTACTTGGAAAGGGTGCTCTCTAGTGTCGGGACAGGCAGGGGAGGTAGAATATTTTGGTACTGAAATGTCCGCTCAGGAGCAATCTCTGCTAAACGACTCGCCATTTCTTCTCCCTGTAACACAAACGAGCATTGTCACAACGAGGCTGCATGTCATACGTGTGAACGGATGAGAGCTTGCACCGCTTTTATTTCGTGTGAATGCTTAGAAAGCATTATCTTTCCTTTTTCTTTGAACTTGGGATGCTTTCCCAGTCATTTTTTTCCGTCTAGCTCTTCAGAGAAAGGGTTGTTATTTTATTGTTAAGCTATTCGGATTTCACCTAGGAATAATTCAGACGTAAATAGGTTCCTTAACTCAAGAGACAAACCAGAGTTGTGTCAACAAAGAACAGACAACTCAATAATGAAACAATTTAATCTAGGATATTTAGGCCTTTTTTTATCAGTAGCCTGTCACAAAGATAAAACTTGTTCCCATTAGTAACTGACTGCATAAAATATACCAAAGACAAAACAGTTTGAGACAGAAAATGGAGATTTTAGTTTAAAATTTGACATATAGTACATGAGAGGAAAGATGGTGCATCTCTCAGGTCCCGTGTCTACAAATGTGGATTAGGGCCACTAAAAAATAAAAGTAATTCTGACTTTAACCTCAGAATTCTGAGGAAAAAAGCGAGAAGTCTGAAAAAAAAAACTTAATTCAGAGAAAAACTTGAACTTTTGTGAGATTCCTAGGACTGGTCTAATTTTCTGCCAAAATCTGACTGACAGAAAATTAGAGCAGTCAAGAGTTTTTTTTTTTTCCTGTGACCCTAATCCTCTTTTGTAAGTGTCTGCTCATATTTCTTGGTAAAAATTTTTTTAAAAAGTCCTTCCCTACTACTAGACAAAAATTCTAAGCCTGATTTTCTTTTCCTCCACTTGTGCATTTTTCTCATTTTAGCACACTATTAACAATCTGATGCCTTGTTTTTAAAAGGACTGAACATAAAATTAATTTAAAAGCATCCTAGGTGCAATAACAAACCTTCACTAAAAATAATAATAAAAAATTACTATTAGTTAATGACATTTTAAAGATTACAATACAATCTGGCTCAGTAAGTACTTACTGAGCCAGATTTTCTTGTAATCTCTGTAAAACAGAAAAAATAGGTAGTTTTGCAATAGAACTGTTTTTTATTTTTTGTTTGTTTGTTTATGTTTTTGTTTTGTACGGAAGCTGAGAGCGGCCATTTTCTGCATATAATTATTTTCCGTGGCTTTCAAAAAGACGAGAAGCGTTGAGATAACGAGGTAATTTCCAGATGGTTTTCCTCTTGTGCATAATTCCGTAACCATGGAGACAGCCTGGTCCACTCAGCTGGTCATAGATGAAGTTTACTATTCATTCATGCATTCATTCGTTATTTCATTCATTAATTAATTTACCGTTATTTATTTAGGTAAATCCCATTGAGGTCGCAGATCTCTTTTGCAAGGGCAGCCTGGGTCTGAAGGCAACCTACTAGTGTACAGAATTTTGCGTCTTTTTGTATCATTACACAGACTGAAACTGCAAATTGTTTGTCTTGTACAGATAACTTTCACATCAGCCCTCGTCATTTAAAGAGATGGCTGACTGTTCTCTAATCTGAGCTGCTGTTAACCTGCCATTTCTGAGGCTGGTGACTCGGATGAACTTATCGTCCGCAGCAGAGGTGACTCTTGGTCTTCCTTTCCTGGGGCAGTCCTCGTGTGGCCAGTTTCTTTGTAGCGCTTGATGGTTTTTGTGACTGCAATTGGGGACACTTTCAAATTTTCCCAATTTTTCGGACTGACTGACCTTCATTTCTTAAATAATGATGGCCACTCATTTTTCTTTAATTAGCTGCTTTTTTCTTGCCATAATACAAATTCTAACAGTCTATTGAGTAGGACTATCAGCTGTGTACTGTATCCACCTTCTGCACAACACAACTGAGGGCCCCAACCCCATTTATAAGGCAAGAAATCCCACTTATTAAACCTGACAGGGCACAACTGTGAATTGAAAACCATTTCAGGTGACTAACTCTTGAAGCTTATCAACAGAATGCCAAGAGTGTGCGAAGCAGTAATCAAAGCAAAAGGTGGCTACTTTGAAGAACCTAGAATATAAGACATATTTACAGTTGTTTCACACTATTTTGTTAAGTATACAATTCCACATGTGTTTATTCACAGTTTTGATGCCTTCAGTGTGAATCTACAATTTTCATATTCATAAACATAAAGAAAACTCTTTGTATGAGAGGGTGTGTCCAAACTTTTGGTATAATATTATTATTTTTATTATAATATATATATATATATATATATATATAATGTTTTTGTGTGCGCGCGCGCGGAAAACGGCCGCTCTCGGCTTCCGTACTTGCCTCAGTTGTCAACTAGATAATTCATTTTCAATCACTGCTTAATCAAAGGTGTAAGGTTCCCAGAGGGCAGAGTAACAACATAAACTACCCGGGGCAGTCTGACACCCACTCCTTCATCTATCTGTAGGTACAAGCTAATGCTACATTGCCGTGGCAACATATTCACATCCTCGCCGTTAAGTTTCGGCTAACTTGACAAAAACAACAACATCTACTACTAGCTCACCTTTTCGGGATACTTTGACTTCAGCTTGCTGCATAAAAACCTCGCTTTGGTTTATTTTGTCGGCTGAGTGTGTGTGAACGATTCCACACACACACACGGGGTTTTGTTGTCCGAAGCTGCAGCAAGCAAGAGCAACCCCCGCCGGAGGAGGCTCCAGCCAGCCTCACCTTTAGCCTACTCAGCCGTCGAGCCACTGCGCATGCGCACACCCTTAGTTTGACTTGAATTTTGATCAATGAGGCATTTTTTAGGAAAAAGGTCTCATTACTCATCGGGGGTACTCATTCAATTCAGTCACTACAATAATGCTAACTGTTGTATTCATAAGTTATAGTTTGTTTAGATAATTTATTAATTATTACTACGACACTACATAGACTCTTCAAATCTTTGTCAGTGGTAAACAATTAATATCCACCTTAGATCTATTTTCTCTTACTTTGAAAGAAGATTTAGTCAGCTTCAAACCACACACATGCCATATCTGTGATGTTTCTGGAAGTACAAACATTACGACGAGATATTGTACTCAACAAAACAAGAGGCCGAAAAAATAACTAATCAACCAGCAAAGATCCAGCTTCTTTAAGGTTTCTAACACAGAGACAGTAATTTGAGTGGAGTGGTCACTCTTACAGCATGCCTGACTTTTATCACAGATACGTTGTTTTGAAAGAGGAAATTTATGACCTGTTAATCTTAGTCAGAAAATGAAAAAAACTAAACCAGTGATGAAGTTCAAACTGAGTATGTTTTTTGCACAATAAATGTTACATACAGAATGAGGTTGTAAATTTGGGCTGGAAAACTATTAAACATTATGGTAAAGGAGAAAGATTAATAAATGAGACTGATATGAATAAAGTCCAACACACACTGCATGTCAGGAGTTTAAGTTCCTCAAATTAAAATAAACAAAAAAAAAAAAGAAATTAGTCTTCAGCAAACACACAAACACACACACACACACACACACACACACACACACACACACACAAAACAGCGCTCGCTGCAATAAAGTCTCATTTATTGTGGGCAATGAAACAACATCAAGTCCCAGATCTCTGAACTGCTGATTCCTTTCTGTAACCATGTTCCTGGCTCAAGGTTTAAAGTTTGAGCTGTATACAGCAGTCACCTTTGTTACACTTTGATCATAGGACAGGGATTACACATAAACAACAGAGATTAAGCAGAAAAACTGTAACAAGTTTGACCTTCCTTTCTTTGGGAAAGACAAAATGTCTGACCAAATTTATTTATTTATTTATTTATTTATTTATTTAGTTGTTGTTGTTGTTAACAGATGGGAAATAACTCTGAAGCTCATCTTCCAAACAAGCAAATTAGTTTGCTTCGTAAAAAACACCTGCTTAAATTTTTACTCTCTGTCCGGATATTACATTTCTTTTCATGTACAACACCATTCAAGCGAAAGCAAATGTTCTGCACAGTCCCAGTAGCAAAAAGAAAAACACAAAAATCACAAAAAAAGAGAGAAATGTATTTATTTGTTCACATTTTACAGTTTTCTGTTTCTCTTGTTGTGATCTCAAGATACATCAGTGCAGTAAGTTCAGCGTTAACAAATCTTAACCACAGAGGTGCATAGAATTTTTTATTCACTGTACTGGTTCATAAAAAACCCTGTCCAAGTAAGAAATGTAAAATGACATGTTAGTATTATGGCCTCTGAGAAGTCAAGGCGAACAACAGCTTTGTTTTAGCCGTTTTAATTGGAGTGCTTTCAGTGTATTGCACATTTTACAGCCCATATTTGCTGATGATGTCCTTAGCGTGTGTGATGTACATGGACATGGCGTCCTCCTTGGACATGCCTGAAAGAGATACATGATGTGTTAATCTGTTTGTGTTTCAGCTGTTCTGCCAGTATTAATCTACAGCATGCGTCAAACTGGGTCAAATGTGACCCAATGCGTTTTATGTGGCCCGTGAGAGCTTCAAAGATGTGTATAAGCTGCTGTAAAGACAGCAATGACTATAAACTACATCTCCCATAATGCATGTTGATTATTTTACCTGCAAAATGACAAACATCCCACCACTAGGTGGAGGTCAAAAGTAGCCCGCAAAATTTGTTGTGGAAAAATAGCCTTTTCACTGCATTTTTCCAGCTACTTTTGCTGTGGCCCAGTTGTACTGGGAAGTAGGAATTTCCCACTTACAAGTTGTAAATTTAAACTGGAATGACCCTCCCGTGGGAATTCCCTGTCAGAAAGTGGGAAAGTTCAAAATTCAAGACAGCAGCTGATCACAACTCAACAGTGAGTAAAACTCTCTTACGCTTACTTTTAATAGTATTTCTGTATTACTTATTTCACATTTAGTTGTACATGTAGTACTTTTCAGTGTTTATAAGAGGACTTGTGCACTATTTACGCATATGCAGGAAATACCACGTAGAGCTCAGTTATTGTTTGTCAGCTGTGCTCAGCCGTAGCAATGAAAAATATTTTCTTAAACTCTATTTTGTTACCTTTTCTGGATTCCCATGCCTCCCATTTGGCCTTTCCTGTTGGATCCAGCATTCCTGGTTTTTCTAAAGACGTGAACAGAAAAACTCCTCAGATTTCAAGGAACAAATGCTGATTAATGATTATGCTCATGATGAGTCATACCGGTGTTAATGTCTCCAACTATGGCCTGTTTGTAAAGGCCATAGAGAGTGAGCAGCTCGTCATTTGTAGGTTGCGTTTTCACCTTCTTCACGTTATCCGCTATCGTCTTAAACTCTGCCTGCAAGTTGAACAGATGGGTCAGCAAAGTGACACTTTTGAACCTTTAGTCATCAAAAACATAAATGAAGGAAATCAAAAGCAAATTGGCAAGATGAAGTAACAAATTGTTGCAGCTAGAAGGTTTGAATCAGAACATAGTGGTCTCAGCAGGGAGAGAAGCCTGGGAAACCGACTGTTGCACAAGATGGGTAGAAACAAAAGCCTTTTTATCCAAGACTCTGGTGCTTTGTGTCTGAATGAATGAATAATCTGCTTTACAGCAAATCTGGGACATGACAGAGCTGCTCATTATAGATTATTTTATGTTACTAATGCATTAATATCAAACTGTAGATTTATTTTAATAATTACTGGAAAATTAATCTCTTAACAGCAGTATTTTTAAAAATCTTTTCAGCTATTCCATGCCATGTATTCTTAAGTTTTTTTAGTCCATAGCAGCAGCTTCAGCAAAAACAAAAACAAACAAAAAAAAAAAACAGATGAATAGTTGTTTTTATAGCTTTCACACAGTCAAAGATGGATGACAGTAATAAACAGAGCATTTATACAGCACTCTGCATTCATTCAAAGCCCAGTTTGACAAGTATCTTTTAAACAAGTCAAATAAAAACCGAGACAAATAATGTTTCTTTTACCTCAAGAGTCATTTTGTGTGAGCAGCTGAAGGGATTGATTCCGCTGTAGTTGCAGCACAGCTGACCGATGCAATATTTAAGATCTGAACAGAGGACTGCAGAGGGGGAGGAGGAGGAAGAGGAGGGAGCAGAGAGCTACAGATCTTGGAGATGATTGGCCGCTGCACGCTAACGTCACATGCACACGCAGATACATTACAGTAGTATAACCAAATACTATAATGAGTTTCTGTCAAAATTTAATATCACTATTCCTCCTGGAGAATACTCTAAAGTTTTTGGTGCTATCTCCTCAAAAATCTGCATGTTATTTAAACAGAAACCAAGGGTCAGTTGTCATCAGGCACTGACTTTTACACCTATACATTCTCCTGTATGTAAAATATGTTTTAACTCCCTTCCATACAACAAAAATAAAACAATTAGGTCCCTTTTTCAAAATGAGGTTTCCTCTGTACCTTCTCATATTGGAACCGTTTTATTGATGATGTGTCCTGGAGGAACGTATGGCTTTTACCAAATGTTTTCCTTCTTACCAATAAAGTTAAAGAAGTGTCATTCACGCTAATTCATAGAATTTACCCTGTAAACGTATGCTTAAAGAACTTCAAATCTGATATAGATACTAATTGTACTTTCTGTGATGTGTCTCCTGAATCTGTTACACATTTGTTTTGGTTATGTCCACACTACAAAATTGTTGCCAGAATATCTATTCTGGCAACAATTTTGTAATTATATTGACTCAAAAATATTTCCAAACTTTCATTTATTCTGGAAACATGTTCTGTTTGGCTTTCAACAAAATAAAAAAACTGACTTCAAAGGAATTTGTTATTAATCTTTTAATCATTCAGGCCAAATTCCATTTACATAAAAGAAAATGTTTAAAGAAAAAAACAAATTTCATCTCCTTCATGATCGAATTTACACAATATTTACACTCAATTCACTTTTCTACTAATCAGAAGGCAAAAAAATTACAGATTCTTGTTCACTTTTTGGAATTCCTGATTTATTTTTATGTTGATTGGTTCTTTATTTTGATTTAATCATTTCATCTACTGTTTAAGTTTATTTCTATTTTTACTATTACACATGTGCATATGTCTTTCCTCCTTTTTCTTTTTCACTTACAGATATTCATTCCCCCTGGCTGTATTGTTATATTTTGTATCACGTTAAAAGTTTCAATAAAAAAGTAGTACAACCCAAATGTCAACATTTAATTCGATTTCACATATTTTACTCTTGGGGTTTCCCGTTGTGTTAAAAGAAAGTTTCAAATGAATCTAACATACATTAACCTGAGTTTATTCTAAAGAAATTCGTTTTCCGCATGCTCAACCAGCCACAGAGACAGAACACATCTTCTCTTACATGCACTTTTTAACCAAATGTGAGTGAAATCTAGTTTTTTTGTATCAGCTCATGCACAATTAATAATAAATTTACAGTTTCATTTTTTTTCTTTTGTCTTCCGCCCTTTGTGTTTGATGCAAATAGGACCTACTGTTTCTAAGTTAAATATTTTCATTATTTATCACTAAATATACATTAAATCTATTTTTTTTCTGTCTGATTGAAATCATGTTTTGGCTGAAATCATTAGGTTCTGCATCATTTAAGCGCCGGTGCACTTAGCAAAAGTAGGATGGAGTTTGCTCCATTTCTAGATGCCTGGCCAGACGCCTGCTTTTTTTGTGGCCTGTTAAAACCAGCCCCTTGTCCTTTGCTTTGCTTGTTCATGCAAGTGAAACTAGAATTGAGCGGAACTGCGTAGGAAGGCAAAGGCTAGCTTTTTTGGTACCACTACACTATGGATACTCTCCATAGTTATGTACTGAAGGATACTGTGTATTTTTTTCTGAAGATGACAGCTGTCAAGGACGAGGGCGGGTCAAAATTTCACATACAAATAGGAAAACGAATCACCAATTAATTATTTATGTACACAGGAAAATGTTAGCAGCTGCTCCTTTAGCAGTAAAGTGGAAGACATAAAACCATTAAAAACAAAAATTTGTTCAGATTCAAGTTCAGTATTGAGTTTAAAACACAACCATTCAGACAGCAGGCCAAACATTTTATTAGAAATATTCCATACATTATACCGATCAGGGTGTGTTTAACAATAGTTTCCATATGGAGACCAGCACATATTGAAGTAAAAGGAAATGAGATAGAAAAGAAGGCAATTCTAAATCATATTAACTTCATAGTACATACTTCATAGTCAGAGGCAAAAAGTATCATCAAACGAAAGCTGAAGAAAGAATGATTAAAAAGATGGAATGAAGAAAGCAAAGGAAGATGTTTTCATAGGATCCAAAAGAGAGAACTGGAAGAAAAACAAGAATGAGGAAAGAGTAATAACAAAATTAAGATTTGGACACACATGACTCAACTATATACAATTTAAAATACAAATACAGGGAAATGAAACAACAGAACATGTTATATTAGTATAAAGAAAAAAGAATATATATGAGGAAAGAATTTGAAAGACAAAATAAACATAACAGATACTTTACAAAAGCCTTTAAGGAGCAAATGAAAACAAAATATAATTAGATAAAAAAACAGATCGATAGAATTTAAATGTAGAATTTGCAACACACACTAAAATTTCACAGTAGGTGGCAGTAAAACACACCATAATTTTTTTTTTTTGCTAACACCAAAAACAGAAGAAGAAGAAGAAGAAGCAGAAGAAGCAGAAGAAGCAGAAGAAGAAGAAGAAGAAGAAGAAGAAGAAGAAGAAGAAGAAGAAGAAGAAGAAGAAGAAGAAGAAGAAGAAGAAGAAGAAGAAGAAGAAAATCAATTTGCGTAGTTTTTCCATTTTAAAGGGAGTTATTTGGTAGAAGGAGGCTTTCCTGTTATAGACCGAATCATTACTAAGTGGACAGGTATTGGAGAGTTACAATGGCGAGTGCAGAAAATAGAAAATGATCCACCAGCTAGCTTAGCTAACAAGAGACCACTGGTTCAGTAAGTGTGCAGCTAGCTAGCACAAAAAAAACACTACTAATGTCTGCCAACATGAATAATTATCTTGGCCCGGATAGTGGCGAGGTAATAAAGGATGAATTTCAATGTATACTTGTAACACCCTCCAGTCCTCCACCGGAAAACCCGAGGACAATCAACGACACCCAGACAACCATCCTCTCAGAGTTATCATCGCTCACCTCTCTCATAAACAACAGGTCAGACGAGTTGGAGAAAATGGTCAGTAGCAACTTGGTTGTTATTACTGAGGCAATCAGGGACAATTCTAAACAAATAGAAAGTATCAAGGAATCATTGGAGTGCATTTGTGCAGACTTGAAAAACATAAAAAGCAAGATCAACCGCTGTGAGAGGCGCATTAACGACGGCCAGAAAACCAAAGACTGCATGGCTGCAGAGGAGAGGACAAGTTCATTAGAGCAGATGGCACTATCACAGGTAAATTTACCAGTTAAATTGACCATTTTAACCAACTGGATAAAAACGTGTGTCTCAGTGGGCCCATGTGATATCACAATATATTAAAGTAAATGATAATTATTCTATCAAGAGATTGTTGACAAAATGCTAACAAAATTATAAGGTAGCAGGTAATTCTCGTGTTTCTCTTTATGGCTTTCAGTTGTTCCTCGTTTCTTTTAAATATGAATGCTGGAAAAAAACAAATATGGATTGTGATTGGAATCTTGACTGTGTCTTTCCATGTGGCGGATAAATTTATAAACGTTTGCYGGAATAAAAATTAATAACTGGCACATTCATGTACAAAGAAGGATTTTACATAAAATCAAGAATATTGTGGATAACCCTGACCATCCTCTTCATCAGACTGTCATAGAAAGACAAAGTGTCCTCAGTCGGAGGCTTCTTCAACTTCGCTGTAAAACAGATCGCTACAGAAGATCTTTCCTGCCCACAGCCATCAGCATCTACAATAATTCTTTAGTTAAATGAGTTACAACACCAAATTTCCCTCTGGGATCAATAAAGTATTTTTGAATTTTGAATTGAATTTGAATTTGTATGGTATCTCCAAATGAGGAAAGGTGACCTAGAGCGATTAACAATAGAAAAGCTGAATCAATCTTTGATTGCAGACTGATTTTCCTTTATTGGTTATTCAGGTCCACTTTAGTGTTTTCCAAAAAACAAAGCCACCTCAGGTGGAGAGATGCACGGTGTGTTGTACACACTTTCACTGCCCACTTTGCCCCACTGGCATGTACAAGCCTCGGTCAAAGGCCATGGTTTTACAGCACTTGGAGGTGCATAAGAAAAATGCACTCCAACATGAAGGTTAGTTGCCTACTATCAGCTTTGTGTTATGCCATTATAACTTGTGCACTTGTCACCACTGCTGTTGCAGAAGGAAAGCACACATTGTCTTACATTTTTCTTTTGTCTCTATAGATTTCTACATAACAAAATGCCATCATGCCTGCAGGCCAGGAAACAGTGGTCATTTCCACTGCCCATTATGCAGTAGAACTATGGTCAAAAGGCAGGATGCAGAGAGGCACTTGAGCATCTGCCGGCTAACGTCTGTATTGGTGAGGGCATGCATGTGTTCGTCAAAAACAATATGGGTCGTATCTTTTTGGAATTGTTTAGATATCTTAGAATGTAAAGCTCAACGTAATTACGGTCACTGCCTTGCATGCTATTTATTAAAAGTAATATATATATTTTGGGTATCTCGTCTAAAATATTATTAACATAACAATATTATAAACATAACTACTACTTGAATATTGACATTCTTGATTAGTATTGATATTAATCCATAAACAATAGTTATGGGATTTAGAAAACCTTATTCTACTTTTTTACAAGCTTTATTTTTAAAATTACATTTTTGGCCTAGCTTTACATGTGGTTTGAATTAAACCTCTTTCAGAGGGTTAAACCTGAATGTTTTTCTGTCGTAGGGAGAAGAGAGACTTCTGGAAAAGAAAAGACGGAGTGATCCCATCCCTGCAAGACAGGAGAAGTCATCTACTGGTGACAGCCCAGTACCTGAATTACCTTTGCCAAGCGAACCAAGCCTGGACAACCCTTCTTGCAAAGTGATCAGAGCAAGCCAAAAATCTGTTCTTTGTCATCACTGTAATGTGAAGATACTGAAAAAAAACATGAATAAACATATTTTCAGGAAACATATGAACATTGCTGGCAGAAAAATTAATGCTGGTTCCAGTGTGCATCCTCACCCTGGATTTGGCAGCTAGCTGCAGTTATTAATTGACCCTCAGCCATTTTATGCTCTCACTCCCCCGTTAATTGTTTTTAATTGGTTATTTTTCCCCCTGTCTTTGTGAATAAAGAAGATAAGAAATGTGATGCATTCATTTCAAATATAAAAAGAAAATTTTTACAGGTGCATATCATGCAGTGCTCCTGATGTCCTGTGTGTGAGAGAATAAAGAAAAAGTAAGTAGGGTGACCATAATCTGATTTGTACAAAAAATTAAAAAAAAAAAAAAGCATACTCTGCCTTGACATAATGTAATCCTGTGTGGGTAGAAATCTATACAAAAATTGTCTTTAAACAATTTATGAAGATGTTATTCAACAAGCATTCTCATTTTAACCCTTGAGGCACCATACTCTTTTTATCTTTAGGTCCTAAAACTTCATCTTATAAAACTAATAAAAATTCAATATTTGTGACTTAATGTTAAACACTGCTAAATATTGTGTTTGAATTGACAATGGAACATAGTTTTTTATAAATATAATTTTGTTCAAAAAATTATATATATTTTTCTTCACTATATAAATCATTAAAACTTCAGAACTATTTATATTTATGTTTTTATTTTGCCCAAACACCTATATTTATTTTTGATGGTGAAAACCCCAAAATATGTTAAATTTTCAACTATATATTGCAAAGTGCAATATTTATGATGTGGGTGTTACAGCCTTAATTAGGTCAAAAATAGATTTTTATGCATTATTTTTGGAGCAATTAGAGTTTAAAGAAAAATCCCCCAAATCGCTAGACATCTCCCTATAGATTACTGCCTCATACATAATTACCAATAAGATCCAAGTATTTTTTTATTTTAAATTCTAGAAATTGTAGATACATATATTTGTTGCTTCTTTCCACATGTCTGCAACAACTGCTTTTTGTCAGTGTGAGAGCGAAAGTCACCTCACAGAAAAAGTTGGTAAGAACATTGTGTAATCAACATTGCAGTTATTGCTTATCTTTAACAATTCAATATTGAATTCAAAATATTACGTCCATAAATATATATATAAACTGAACAACTGGAGAGTGACCGCTCTGCTCACCTTTTAACGCTGGTCGGCGCTGTTTGTTGCTGTTTTCAGTTTTAAATAAAGTTATTGAAATTCAAACAAGATGGCGGCGGACTGAGTTCCTTATGTAGCGGTGAAAGCCTGAACAGCGTTGAAAATACGTTCACTAAAGTACTAAAGCCTATTGAAAAACAGGTAAAATCATCTATTTGTCACTGTATTTTTATTATTTATTCTGTGAACTCGTTACGAGAACAAGCAGTGTAGAGTTTTTTTTTTTTGAAGCTGAAGAAGGTGTGGGATTTGTTTGCTAAAAATACATTTCAGGTTAATTTAAACTTGCTTGCTTTCACCCCATTAGAGATTAACACATAGCATATTACATATTTTTATATGTCGTGATTTTTATGTCTAAAAGTAAACGTAGATGGACTATTTTAACGTATAAGCAAACTCTTCAACATACACTGCTATTAAAGTCACCCTATAAACAATGTAAAATTGGACCATAATGAGTAAGAATATTGTAATGTGTGTATTGTATGTCTAAAATAAATTGTACGAAAGAAGTTTGGACACAACTGATTTGATCCAAAGTGTCTGATGAGTTTAGGCTTATCTTTTATCAACATTTAAGACAAGACGCTAAATAAAGGTTAAAACTTTTCAAATAATGACTCCTCAAATCTGTTCAAGCTCTTTGCATTGAGGAAACTATATAACCTCAAAGTCCACAAAGCAGGAAGAAAAAGTTCAGGGTTTGTTTTTAACACAGAAATCTTTCTTGCGTTTTCAGGGAACCTGAGAACTTTGAGCCCAAGTCTGATATTCCAGTGAAACCGCATCTGTTTTAAACTTGGTTTTCTTTTAAGCAACTCACAGCTACAGAAAGATTAAAGTGGTTCGTTATTATTCTCTGTAACAACATGTGCAAAAATTATTTTATGGTTGCTGACTTTTATGAAGAGAACACCTCTTGTAAGGATTCATTTAGATTTGCAGCAAGTGACTTTAGAAAAAAACAAATTTCTGCTTGTAGAAGAAGATTGGAAGTCATTTTCATTCGGACCAAATTAGCAGCAGTGAATTTATTTAAGACAGCTCATCAGTCTCAAAATAAGAAACATTTTATAAGACCTGGAAGACTGATAAATTGTAATTTTAACTGTATTAATGAAATCAATTTCTCTTGTTTTGATTTCAGGTGAGCCATGTCTGCTAAGAAAGAAACCAAAAAGCATGTTCAAGTCAAGACCTCCTTCACTTCACCCTTCAGTTCAAAATGGAGCCAGCTTCCTCAGAACGACATGTACTTTATCCTGAAAACCTTAATGGACAAACTGACCGCTACGGGTCTGATGAAGAAAGAGGTGAAAACATTTCGCCCGTGGAGGAGAAAGAAAGAGAAGAGTCCACAGATCTCCACATCAGAAATTCTTCCCCAGGCAGGTCGGGACGAACGGGGGTGCAATCCCATCAGGAACGCCTGGATGAATGTAGCAGCCAGGCGGCAGCTGGCCATCGGCATCAACGAGGTCACCAAGGCTCTGGAAAGAAACCAGCTCCAGCTGCTTCTCGTCTGTAAATCCGTCAGACCCCAACATATGACCGATCACCTGATCGCTCTGAGCGCCACCAGAGGCGTGCCGACCTGCCAGGTGCCCCGGCTGAGCGAAAGCATGTCGGGCCCACTGGGGCTGAAAAGCGTGCTCGCGCTGGGGTTTCGACAGTGTTCTCCTGAAGACGGAGAGATGTTCAAAGACGTCGTCGACGCCATTAAACCGAGAGTGCCTCCATTAGACGTTGCCTGGCTGCCAAGTATGACACCTGAACATCCTACTGCTAACATGGAGATGGAGGAGGAGGAGGAAGAGGAGGAGGAGGAGGAGGAGGAAGAGGAGGAGGAGGAAGAGGAGGAAGAGGAGGAGGAGGAGGAGGAGGAAGTTAGTGAAACAAAAGGCCAAAAACGGAAAAGGGAGAGTGAATCTAAGAAAGTCACAGAGTCTTTCCCCCTATCATGTACTCTCCAGCCTCTAAAAGTAAAGAGAATTGTTTCTAATCCTGCAAAAAAACGAAAAACAAATAAAAAGAAACAGCCGGCTAAATAAAAGGGACACTTTGCCGAGCTCAGCAAAGGGTTATTGCTTGTGGTTTTGCTTTGCTTTTTTGTTGTTTGTTTTTCATTTTCCAACCCAGCTTGGCTGGAAAATGAAAAACAAACAAAACAAACAAAAAAAAGTAAATGAATGCAGTCCAGTAAGTGAATGGATGTTTGCATATTTTTATTCAAGAAGAGCTCGTTTCATGTTTTAAAGCACAACCTCATTGTTGACATGAGAATATTTTTTAATTTTTATTTTGAAAGAATTCTTGAAAGTTAGATGGGGACAAAACATCTAAACATGTAAAACTGAGATAAAAAAAATCTGTAGGGAGAAATAAAAAACAGAAAGGCATTCCTTTATCCAGCTAAACATATAAACCCTCCAGCTATATATAGTGGAGAATTTTTCAGTTTCTGCATCAATATAATCCACCTTTTGGTTTGAGATCAGTTTTCAAATACAACTTGCTGACAGTCTAATTTAAACCAAGACCAAACTCTGCTTTTGGCTTTGAAACAAAGGAATTTTTTTTTTAAGTTTTGTGATGAAAAATAATAAATTGCACAACTGACTGAAAATAACTTGTTTTTTAATCTGCAAAATGGATTATAACAATAAAAAGAAAAGATGTTTAATCCTAGAAAGTAAATGGATGGATGCCGTTGTAAGGGTAATGTAAACAATGTTGTGTATTTACTACAAAACACGGACGTTATTTTTAAGTTTAGCCACCAAAGACGGTGCATAGTGCCTGACATGTACAGCACTGCTTTTAAGAGGGGATTGTTTTTGTTTAATTTGGGATAAATGGCAAAAAAAAAAAAAAAAAAAAAATACAAGTTTTACACTTGTGAATATTTTTGGTGGATTTAAAATTAGTAGAACCTTTAGCAGAAACTAATCAATCCAGTAATAGTTTCTAAACATTGCAAAAAAAAATCCAATCCCCTACATGAGAAGTTAGTTCCGCTATTAGCTGAACTGTGCTGGCACCACTGAAAATACTAAAAGTTGAGCAAATTTTTTCTAACTACTTGTAAAACCAAAGATTAATGATTGCTTTAAAATAACATGTAAATTATAGGATATCGTGCTTGAACAGTCAGGAGGAAAAGCACATGTAGATCATAAAATTAGGATTCTGGCTTTGGATCACTTGAATATTGCTTCTTTTTCTGCAATTTTAAATAAATACTATGTTTTCCATCAGAAAAAGTTACACCTCACTCACGTTTTTTCTTTTTAAAGTTTTATTCAGTCAAATATCCATGCTGGTATAGCGAGTTGAAACACTGGTATTTGCAGAAGGGGGGTGTGTTTAAATGATGCTGGTAAAAATTTCTTCAGGTTTTTCACAGTTTACCATGAATATTGAATAGTTATTGTTCTTCGTTTGAGCTGTATGTCATTTCAGAAGTGCACGCACCTCATCTAACCTAAAGAAAAAAAGTTTGTTTTTCTTTTTAAACTAAGGCAGGTATTTTTGGTTGAAGTCTCACTACAGATTGTGGCTGCAGAACGGATGGACCAACATGCTCATAGTTCATTCCAGCTACTGCAGGCGTCACATCGGTGAGAACATCATCATAGGTTTCGTTTTTAAGAGTTAAATGAATATAAGCAGCATCTTTCTCCAAGTTTGACCCGTTCCTGGTGACATGAAACTAAAAAAAAAAAAAAAAAAATACTGAATCCTGAAACCTTAACTGACCGTTTGTCCCTTTCTGGCTGACAAAGGAATGCAAATTATATAAACTACACACAAAAATAAAAAAACAAGCCACTTTTAAATCCCAAAGCATATAGTTGCACAAGCAGGATCATTAAACAGCAAAAGGTTTGTTTGGAGTTACCTGGCAGCTCCACCTTAAAACAAGTGGTCTTACATTATTTAGACAAACCCATTTGTTTTGTTCATTTAATTGCAGAAAATAGCCAAATCTTAAAGAATATGTTTAGAGGTTGCCCGTTTTTTAGGTAATGCAAGACAGAACTGATGTTTTAAGACCTTTTTTTTAAATGTACATTTACAGAAATCACAACTTTTACACATTTAGCTGCACAAGACACTGAAATGACATCTACAAAATGTTTTTTTTTTCTGTCCCAAACCAAAAAATAATACAAAAATGAATCCAGAAAAGTTGGGAAAAATAGACCTGAATGAGCTGAAATGTCAGGCTGAGCTTGGAGAACACATTTAACACGCAGCCAATCAGCAGATTGTTTGCTTTTCTTTTTTAACAAAGCTTTTCTCAGCTGATGATTTGTGTATCAATGTCTAAATTATTAAAAGGAATGTGGTTGTGTGACTGACTTTCAATAAATAAGCCTAATATAAAATAGTTTATAAGCCCATTTTTGTACAAAATCTCAATCTCATTTTTATGCTTTAACTGTTGTAATTCTGTATGTGCAATGGTTATGTCAACTTTATTAGGCTTCTATTTGTTTCTCAACAGTTAAATGAACTAACCCAATTTAATACTCAAAAAACAGCTTTATATCAAAACAATTTCAATTCTTAAAAAATAGTAGTACAGTGTGTTTATTTTGACATCAGACCCTTTAAATATGGACCCTTTTCATTGCAACACAGTAAATTGTGCTTCATCAGTGCATCACATTCTTCATAAAAAACAAAACAAACAAAAACCCACTGAATTTTACAGAACCGATGAGGAGAAATGCTGAGAACCAGTCCTGGCACACTCCAAACTCACTGCAGGAATAAATATAAATGTAAGCAATATGTTTTCATCCACAACACCTGGCTTGTCTATATGTCTGGTATTAAACAGTGTGCAGTATGTAACTTATGTTTAGTAAAGTTTGCTGATATCTTTATCTGGGATGCATGAGTAGATGTGTTTCCTAAACCTACAGAGGCTGAGAACAGCCAGCAGAGACACTTGACTGGTGAAGCTGATACAAAAAGGAAAACAACAGCAGCGGCACAATAACTGTTTGGACTGGATAAACAAAAAAAAAAAAGAAGGTAAAAAGGGAGTTAATTATTTCTGCTTGTGTTTACTTTGTCAATTATCATTTACAGAATTCCATACAATTAAAGAACATACCAGCCACACCCCCGTGACGATGTTTGTTGAGGATGAAAAGCTAGAGACAAAATTCACAACGCCAAGGCATCCTGCAGAAGGTCAAACCCCTTTTTGTTTAAGATGCGAGAGCGCATGTCAAGAGCAGATGTACTGGAAGAATATCTCAGGCATAGCATGACTTTCACATTCAGGATGATGAGTTAAAGAGTCTTTCACCTCCGGCTGAGCCGAGAATGTTCTTGATGAGACAAGTGAACCGACACTTGGTCACCAGGTTGGCTTTTGTTGTTGTAGTTCTCGATGTCGAGCTTGGGACGACAGGGTCCAGGTAAATGTCAGGAGGTCAGCGAGGACCACGTGTGTTTGTGCAGCGGCTGTGATGAGGGCTGCTACTGGAGGACGAGACCAACCTGGAACATGAATATCAATGTGTTATCCAGGAATGATAAAATTGAATGAATGAATGAAGAGTGTTTCCCCTAACATTGTATAAGGAGAGCAGCCCACCCCCTAAGAGAACTGACCACCCCACTTAACTCAACATAATTATTCCTCCCTTCTGCTGTACGTCATGCAGACCGAAGTATAAAACTGTAGTTTTGTCACTTTTCACACTAGAGTCGGAAGAAAATCTTGTTTGTTTTTTTCTTGCTAACTGCAGAGATGAAAACAGAATGAGGACGCTCGCTTAATCCCAACTTCATCTTGCTAATTTAACAATTGTTTTCTGCTCTGGAGACGCAGCAGATCATTTTCAGCAGCATGCAGAAGTGAGAGATACATAAAGATACAACTAATGCAAACTGAATTGCAGACTTTTTCTGGTTTTGTAATTTTATAAAAAATTTATTAAGGAAAATGCACACAATAAACACAAGTAATGTTTCTGCTGTTGATCAATTATACTGTACAATTTTATTGCAACCTCACTTTAGGACCTATTTAATCTTTCACCTATTACCCTGGTTTGGAATGATGGGGTGTGATTAGAAATGAAGGCAGATACTGCTGACCTTATCAGACTCCATTGTGGGACACTTCCAGTTGTAGAGGTAATACTGCAGGTTTCCATCCCCAATGCCAAACTTAAGCTTCTCCAGAAATACTTTATTCTCCATCAGATCCAAGGCATTAAAAACATCAAAACCTTTCTGTAAAACAACATAATTAAAAAATGAATAGGGTGTACCACAACTCTCACACAATGACTGCTGGAGATGAGCACCAACACCCCCATGACCCAGAAAGGTAAATGAAAATGGATAAACACTGGAATAAATCTCACAGCAACTAATAAAGAACAACAAACTTGCTTTGAGCAATAAAAATACAGGCACATTATCATCTTCCTATACCTATATTTCAAAGGTGATAATACTGTATCATAGAAGTGTGATTAATTGGTAAGAACTTTAGGAAGTACCAGTTTGGCCAGGATCAGTGCATCATTCATTAGGTCCAGTAGTGGTGTTTGTGTATGAACGTTGTAGAAAGAGTAAGCTGCCTTCAGACTCCTATGGAGAGGGTGATGCATCACAGTTGAGGGCAAAGTGTAGAAACTAGTAAAATCTGTCAAGACACCACCTGCACCCTGAAAGACAGACCCCCGTCCCAAACAGTCCATTAAAACAGAACAAAAAGATTCCATTAGTTTTAAGTGCCATTAGCTGCGTTTCCATTGACCATTAAAATGCACAAATTAGAATTTCAAAAATAAATTTGCTCAATGAAAACACGTCAATTTCGAAAAAACGTATGTTTTTCAACAAAATGGTTTTGCGCTGGTTTGAGATGGTTTTTCGGCCGTATCGAAATTGGTGTATTTCGCAAAACTGCAATGGAAACACTTTTTTCGCATCCCGGGAGTCACGTGATCAAGAACCTGCTGTTTCTACTGGCGAAAAAGATGACAACAGGAAGTAGAAGTAGTAGTAAAATCACCGAAGTTGTTGCTCCCAAGTATAAGGGGCTTGTCGCTCGAAAGCCTCGATAAGACGCAGACGTCTCCTCTGATGGCTGATGATGAGCGCTAGTGTCGTGGTAGCAATATGCTGTGTGTTTACATCCATTGCCGCCATGTTTGTAATGACTAATCACGAGAACAAACGAATTCACGCGTGACTTTAATAGCATTTCTTACTTAATGGAAACATCGCAATTGCGAAACTGTGTTTTTTCGATATTAACAGAACATCGACAAAGTTTTGCGCACAGTTTTGCGCACATTTGCAATGGAAATGCAACTATTGACATCTTATTTTGTAATTACTACGAATGCATATTTTTGAAAGATAACATTAATCATTAAATGTAAAAAAATTGTGCTGCTGAGATGAAGAGTTGTTGAGATATTTGCAAGTGAAGTAACAGGAAGTGATGTGAAAGGGGAATGTCTGCATGTGAACAAAGCATTGCTACAATAACTAACAACAGACTGCAGAGAAGACTCTGATCTTTCTTTAGATTATTGTGAGTCACTATCTGAGAGAGGAGTCAGAGTTCAAACATTACTGATTCAATAAACAAAGACCAGGGATTTCCTTTTCTTAAAGAATTCCCCTTTAATATCACTTCCTGTTTCACTTTGGCAGAGCCAAATTCAAAAGAAAATATGCCAGTTATGTGACAAAATGTATCACATAACTGGCATATAACCATATTTTATTCCATGTTTCTTAAATATAAAGATGTTTTCTTGGACGTTTTGTATTTGAATGATAAGAATGTCACACATACTTTAAGGGTGTGTAATAACAGCTCGTACCTCGACGACGAATGTGTCGATGATGTTTTCCTGGGGTAGGAACCAATGAGCCACGTCCTCTTCTCCCATTGATGGTGCAAGATGGAAACGTCTCAGGTATTTCTGCAGCAGCTCGGTGACCTGGTGGATGTCGCGCCTCTCCATTGGCCGCAGACCTGGAGTCTTGGTGCTCTGTGTTTGTGACGGAGAGTGTGTGTTTAAGTTTCCTCCACAAAGAGAAATAAAAGGAGATTATGGACTGACAAGTGAGTGTGTTTACATCTGATAATCTGTACAGCTTCATGGTTCTTTGCAGGGTCATGTTTCTGCTCAGATGGGAGAATTTTACTTCCACGAGTTTTCTGGGGTTTAACGAACGATGCCAGTACCTGAAGGACAAACAAAGAGTTTGGGAGGCGTGTCTTGACACCGTACCCTGTGTGTTGTATTTAAATATGGAACAATCATACCTGCATGTAGACACCGGTTTAGGCAACACGACTCCAGCTGTGTAAACTGCCTGAAATATACCCTCTAGGTTCACTCTCCGTGTTATCTCTCTGATTAGCACAGGAGCAACACGCTTTGAGCGTAGCTTCTTGTGAACACACAGGAAGTTGATTTCTACCATCCTCTTTATCCTGTGGACACATGAAATAAGACAGACTGAGTGTTACATTAAAACAATTTCCATGACTTCACAATGCTGCCCCGCCCACTCCAAAACATATATGATCAGCTTAAACTGCTCACGTGTCATAGACCCGTACGTCTGCAGGAATGGCACTGATGAAGCCAACAAGCTTCTTATTTGAGGACACCCTGACTCCACAGTGCCACTGTGGTAGCCAGCCAGGTGGACGCAGGGCCCTGAGAAAGGTCAACAACAACAAACATTTAACAGAACAATAATAAAAATAAAAACAAAACACAATGTCAGAATTGCTTACCATTTCAGAAAGCTTGGAGAATAATCAAATCTGAACATGTTATCATCGTCCTCTACATAGTTTTCATTTAACAACGTATACAACTCCTTCAGCTGAAAAACAAAACAAAACAAAAAAAAAAACAATGTAAATTAATAATTTTTTGTTTACATTTTGAGTATTACAGACAAGCACTCCACTTACTACATCTGCACTACTGAGATCCAACGTGTCCCACATAAAGCCTTGAGGTAAAGAATATGGCTCCTGTCTGATGTTTTCTTTGTCGGCTTCAATCGGCCCATGACTCGTCACAACTTCATCTGCAACCACAGCAGCACAATGAAAGATGAATACCTAGGTCTGTCCACATCACTTTCTGTGAAACAGAAACATTAATTTTTACATAGAACCAGACAGTCAATCATGTCCTATTATTTGCTTCAGTCGGCCCCGTGTTGACCAGGCCGGTCTGTGACATGAGACCTCCTACACAGACATGACTCTTTGGATAACAGTTGCCATGGAAACAGCTCAATCTAATGCTGCTGAGCACACTTATCTGAAAAGCCCTGACCCCTGCTGTACATCACAGCTGACATGCTTATTGGGGCACTGAGTTTGGGCACTTTTAAGAGTGATAAAATAAAGCTTAAGATAGATTTAATGCAATAATAATAATAATAAAATAAAATAAAGAAAGATGCCCATTTACTGAAAGCAAACAACACCGTGACAAGTGCTAAATTATCCCTTTTTTAAATAAAAGTTACACTTATACACTGGGCCTCATGCAAGAACATGTTCGTATTCTTATCCTAAATTTCTCTTACTTTTGTTCGTACAAAGGGTTCGTACGAACATGCCACGTCAGATTCAACAAACGCTTCTATCTTCAGGAAAAGTGTGTAAATGAGCTGCATAAATTCCACCCGTTCGTATCAGCTGCTCGTGCACGCGAGAGGAGATTAGCATAATTACCACCCCAAAAACACCATTTAAGGCTATGTTTCCTGCCTCAGATACAAGGAAGTATCCATTCATGAAAAATGACAGCGATAATTAAAAAGAAGAACTTTACGAGTTCAGAGATTGAAGTCCTGCTGTCAGAGATCCAGAAAATAAAACCTGTCATTTTTAGCAGGTCAGCTGTGGAATAAAAAGAACCGCTAAAAGCATAAACAACGGTGTTAAATCATTTTCATTTATTCAGAAGACACAGCGCTGCGCACAATACCCCACCCACCCCGCGCGCGGTCTCAAGTGGTCTCAGTTGCGGTTCTGAAATAAGCACTTTAAAATGTTTTCAAAATAAGTCTGGCACTTTGGAGAAAATCAAGGACTCGCTGGAGGGATTATGTATCCCCTCTGGCCTGGGAACGTCTCGGAGTCCCCCGGGACGAGCTGGAAAGTGTCGCTGGGGAGAGGGAAGTCTGGGTCTCTCTGCTGCTGTCCCCGCGACCCGATCCCGGATAAGCCGGCCAGATGGACAATTTATATTGTTAGTGAAGAAATTTAGTTATTTATAAATTAGTACTGATATCAGAAACAACACCAGAATATTAGGGTTTTCTTTTTATAACACTTTTATAATGTTTGATCTATTATGTGTTCATTGAAATAGAGTAGCTACATGTCCGAATTCATATACAACACATAAGAACTGGTTTGAAACCATTAGTGTCAGGTCTTTGTCTGAATGCCTGTGGGTCAGCAGAGGGCGAACTCAGGCATTGAAGAATCGTGTACAGTATATAAAAGGGAACTTACTGTTTTTCATTCAGTGTGGTTTGGCTTGTCAGTCCGGTGGCAAATAAACCTCACTTATCTCTCTCCAGAATTCTGGTGTTGTATGACATTTATTTCATATCACAGATCATCTTATTTAACACTTGTGTTTTCATCTGATTTCAGCCGATATTAAACAGGTATTACTTAAAGTTTAGTCTAAATTATTACAATTTAAATTATAATTCTAATTCAAGCAGAATAGCCTATTGTCAAGATAATTATAGAGTGTAATTTATTTTCAACACAAAATATCTTCAAACTAACGAAAAATAAAGTTTTTAGGGAGGAAAATCAGTCTGGATAACAGCAGACTGACTGCTCATAAAATATACGACAGGTCTGGACCACTTGTGAATTTTGTTCGTATCTGAAAAAAATCTTAGAATACGAAAACTTTGGTGAATGCCACAAATTCTCCCAAATCACTCGTACGCACAATTTAAGAACAAATCTGTGCGTACGAACGGTTCTTGCATGAGGCCCACTGTTCTTGCAGCAGGAGTGTAACAACGAATGAACATTATGTTCACATTGCAGTTTGTTTTCACTCTATTTAGTTTTAGTTGACACTCACTTAGCTTTGGGACAGGCTGGGTGTCCCAGAACTGGTACTTGTGCTTGGCTGCGTCGTCAATACTTTTTGCTGGACCTTGACAGGACAGCAGCTCCATGGCTCTTTGGATGTCCTGCAGCTTTTGAATGGGCAAACCAGGGTTCTGAGTAAAAAAAAAAAAAAGGAACAACCATTTGCAAAAAAGGAACCAAACCAGTGATTATGACAATATTGACAAACTGAAGCTTCAAGTACGCAGACAGAATAATAAATGATAAAGCAAGGATGTTTTGCATGATGCTATCATAATAATATTGTTTATTTTAGGAAATATTTTAAGTGGGTAAGTCATGATCAAAAACCCTTAATCATTTGCATTTCAAAATGTCTTTACATCATAAAAAAGTGATTTACGTACTTATGAGTTGCAAAACATTTTTATGCATTCATACACTGTTGTGTGTTTGAATATTTAGAGGTAATTTCTATGTTTGTACAGAAATAAAAGCAGCTGAAGTAAGAATAACTTCATCATTATGACACCTGTCACTTCAAAACTGTGAACAGAAGGAAAGCTGTGAAATTGCATCCATTTTACTGTGAAGAACATACTGTAAATGCTGTATAGTAGTAATTTTCATATATGACACATAGTTCAACTTTGCGAGTTTTTGTTTATCAAAAGTCTATTCAATGAAAGTTTTGCTTCAGAATCATTTGCTGGTGACACCTGACTACAAATGTTACCATTTTAAGCCCTTTAAACATGAAAAGAATGTAATTTATTGCAATCTATGGCAGATATGATACTGGACAGATTGTGAGCTATTAGCTTTTAGGACAACCTTTTTGGTTTGAGATTACTTTCTATCCTGGAGAAAAATTAGACGACAATTTGCCACTGTATAATCATACCTTGATTTTAGACATCAAACCACAACGGCATAATGAATTACATCTACTACCACTATTTATGAGTTTGTCGCTCCTGATCTGAAAGAGTGTGTGCACATTTTTTCATGACGATTATCTTTGTCACACCTTGATCTCTTGAGAGTCAGAAGCAGAATCAGATTTGGCTCCCCCCGAACTGGGCTTCTCTTTTTTCCTCTTCTGTTTCTTCTTCTTCCTCTTGGCCCCTAGATCTCCCCCTGGACTGCTATAAATATGAGGACAAAGGCACAGGACCATAAGTGGACGGAGGACAGGTCTTTGCTGGGTTCAACGCGCGCGCACCCAGAGCTAACCTAGCTGCCATAGCAACGACTCGACTGACAGCTGAGCTACTTGCTGTTAGCGGTTTGTCCCAACACAGTTATGACATTCAACCTGGACTTTGGGCGGGGTGTATGAATGTACACTAACAGTTGTTATATTTTATTAAACTACTTATAATTCAAACTGAGCACTTCTTGCTGTAACAACGGCCCGTTAACAGCTTGTTTGTGTCTGCTAAAATTAACTAGCTAACTGCGCTAGCCGCCGCTCAATAAGCAGGCAGCTAAAATATCGTTTCTCAGATTTGGACCCCCCCACCCCGACAGACCATCCTCACCCTTGCATGTGTTCATTCTCCTCCTCGTTGTCTCCGTCTATCCCGCATGTATCCTGGTCGTCCAACTCCAGGCTCTGCTGACTAGCCGCAGATTCGCTGTCCTCCGCCATCACAAAACAAACGTTTTGAAAACAGCCCCAGCAGCCACCGCTTTAAAGAGCTCACTGACACCGGGAGAGACTGGCGGAAAAAAAAAAGAAAAGAAAAAGAAAATTGTGTTGGAAACAGCGCCGCCTGTAGGCCCCAGGAAAATAAACAGTCGCCTTTCAAAAGTTTAAAGGTCTTTATTAGGGTTTTAGGCAAAATTCAGAGTTTTATCAACAAATTCTAACCTAAATATTACAATAATTACAAACTTNTTTTGCCTAATAGGTCCCCTTTAAGCTGAACAGCAACAGATAGTTTTTAGTATTTTTACTCATTTAAAGATGTTTTTGGGACATGATGTGGAAAATATCTAATGTTTTGAGAAATATAAAACATTTAGTTGGAAATACATTATTACAATTTTAGGTGAATCGTACAGTTTTCAGTTTTGTCAAGTGCTATTTCTGATTGACCCACATGGTTCTGATGTTCCTAAAAATAACTTTGTCTTAAATAGGCAATCATATTTCTGCTTTTAGCCCTAATTTAAATAGTTTCTTTTTGTGTTTGTAGCATTTAACTGTTAGTTCACACACTTTGGGGGAAACAATTACTGTGAGAGAGGTGGGGGACACCCTGGACAGGTCTCAGGTCCATCACAGGGACACGGAGACAAATGAGACAAGCTTTAAGATTACGGGCTAGAAGATGTAAAAATTCAAATTGAATACTAATAATATTTGTACCTCAGATGTAGCAGTTATGCTACGAGACATTTTAACTTCTTGTAATATATTTGCAGATTTTAAAGCCAGCTGAGAAAAAGAAGCCCAACGGCAGCCGTCCTGTGACCCCTCCTCGCAACATGGTCACTAAACAAGCCAAGAAATGAGGGGATGAGTGGGAGACAAAGGCCGGAGACTCACCCCTCTGGTTTGCTTTCGTCCTCTGCATTTGAAGGATTGTTTATTCTTCATGCTGCAATACTGAAAAAGAAATATCCACTCCTACTCGATGAAAGCAAAATATTTTATTGTTCTGTTCACAGGGGTAAATTGATATGTCACCGTGAAAAACCTCAGGTGTTTTGCACTCCATTTTACAGCAAGTCTTTGCCACATATGACTGTTCAATCAGGAAAAACCTAACAATACAGCTACTTATGCACAGGAATGCCTTGTTTGAAGCTGTGCACAATTTTTCCAGGTTCTTTTGTCTCATTGGTCATTTCATTTTCACAGTCTGTAAATTGTAACCTACGGCTGAAAAAATATAATGAAAGTCACATTGGTTTACTTCTGTAAAAGTTAATTTACTCTTAGTGTCACAGCATCACTCTACATTGCACATTTTTAAACAAGTTGTGTGCTAAATTAATAAACATTGCACCCTTGTAATGTCTAAATCTTTCTAATAAACTTTCAAGTGTGTTTTTTGGGGGTACAAGTGTCTCTGTGTTTAAGGGTATAAGTTTCTCTGTACGTGCTGGTCCAGATAACCCCAGTACAACCTCACGATGTTGCAATAAGCAAGGTGTCGGTAACAGCTGAAATAGAGTTAGTGCATAGGTGTGTTGTTTGATAAAGTATATTATACAAATATTAATGGCTCCTTTGGTAACTAACTTGTTCATTGTTTCATGCATCTCACCATATAGCTGCACGTATGTTCCGTAAACAGCCTGTAGCACTTAATCCTTATGTGCTACAGGCTCAAACCCTGGGTGGTCAGTGATACAGGTGACCACACCTACCTGCTCACATCTGTGCATTACCTATAACACATGGAGTATTAAAGTTCATTACAAATTGTATATCTCATTTAGATTATTTTAATATATTACAACATTTATTTAGTTGTATTAGTTTGCCAAAAAACTGAAGATTGGAAAAAGTAAAAAAATAACTGTAATTCTAAGCATTCTAACACAATGAAAGTTGGTAAGAAAATGTTTATTCTGACTTTAGGCCATGTGTTTTGTCAAAGATAAGATGTTTATGATGGCACTGATTTGGAAATATAATATCAAAATGTCCAATACAGAGGGATAGAAAGTAGTGTACTGACGGGACAGTCTCTTAAAATTTAGCAAATAAACAGGAAACATTATGTTTAACCTGACAAAAATTAGTTTGTAAATGTGATTGCAACTTGATGAATAATTTTATTTAAACTTGGTGTAAAACTGTGCTTAGACTGTGGTAATAATATCTATACAGGCTAATTTTAGGTTTCAGAGAAATAATTTACAGTGCAATTAGAGGTTATGACGCTTTTTAAAAAATAGTTTACTGTGTTTAAAAATCATTTAGACCAGGTTTAATCTTCTGATTGATTTGCTTTAGTCACAGTCGTTTGTGCATGGAGAGTCAATATTTTATGAAGTGCTACCTGTTGAAAAGATTTGACAACTGCTCTGAAATGTAATTCTACCTTTGATGTCTCCCTACAACAAACGTTCTCTGCTGGGGACAGAAAGCTGCAGTGACCACAGGTGCACCTGTTGAAAGATAATCTTTTTCATGCTTCACACGCTTTATTATAAATAGTTTAACATGTAAATATAACTTAAAGTATGATAATGCAATGAACGTTAGCCTATGTTAGCAACAATGCTGCAAACATCATTTTACCACTCGGAAACGGGACCCATTCTCTCATCCATTGCCTCGGCAGCAGCCGCTGAGTTCAGCGCTTACAGCCAGCGGCTCGAACTGATACGGCTCAGGGCCACTGGGTTCACCAAAACCTCTCTGTCTCAGGTGGTGATGGAGGTGAAAAATCCTCCACCTCAAAAGACTGCTCAGTAGTGAAACTACCTCCGTCACTGTGGTGACCTCAAACTGACCACACCTCCTTGCTCAACGATCTGTTGAGAAGGGGTTATCTGCAGAATCAAAGTGGGCGTGTCACAAGAGTAGGCGTGTCAAAAGCATAAACACTGTGGGCTACGAGGCCTACATGACGGTATCCTTAGATCCTGCTTGATGTCTTTACAGCCTAACCCTGACCCCAACACTAAGGTTTAACCAGGAGAAATGTGACCCAAGTAGGGGTCTCCAGAAAAAGTGTTGCCGTACAGTAACGCCCCTTTTGTTCTTGTCCAATGAGGTGGTGCCGTATGGTATCGCCTCTTTTTTGCTTGTCCAGTCAGGTGTGTCCCTTTAACAAAGTCCGTCAAATCAGGTGTGTCCCTTTAACAAAGTCCGTCAAATCAGGTGTGTCCCTTTAACAAAGTCCGTCAAATCAGGTGTGTCGCTGGATGGATTCTTCTTTAGTGAAACGTTTCGTCTCTCTTGCTACACTGCATGCACATGACACGACACGGGTCAGGTGATAGGTCACATGACGCTCTATGAACAATAGAGCTAATCAAGCCTATTGTTCGGCGATGGCCCTCTTTTGTATATGACTAACTTGTTTGTCCTTGTGGAGTGCTTATAGGCTGAGTTCACCTGAAACTCATCAGACTGAAGAAGTCTCTTGGAGGAGAGACAAAACATTTCACTAAAGAAAAACCCACCCAGAGGACGTACTTACCTTTTCTTTTTGATTTTTTTCTACCTGGATTACTGAGATGAATCAGGACTGCAAGCTATTTAGTAAAAATGAGTAAAAAGCAAGTTTGCTCTCATGAATTATGCAAAAAAGTTTGGGGAATGCTGCTCTGAGTCCTTGTTATGAGATCCAATCTTACGAAAGTGACTTAGCATGTCATATACAACATAATATCTCAATTATAACTTATCAATTCATATTTTTGTCCTAACATCAAAGTATAAGTGTAACAAGGTGTTTTGCAGACTCCTGATAATCACAAATTCCTTTAAATCAGGTGTGATGACGCAGAGAAACCTCTAAAACATGGACAGTGGCCCTGAAGGTCCTGGATTTGCACCAGTGAAAAAAGAAAAATAAGTTTAATGTTGCCAACAATGGAAAGAGTTTACGTTTAAATGTAAATTTACCCTTATGACTGGGGCTGTAAATGGTAGTAGTTTGCACATAAAGACACACTCAGCAGTATATCAATTTCTTTTGTTTATTCAGAATAATAGGCTTAAAATATAATGCAAGCAACCAATTTACACACTCAGGATCCTGTATTACTACTCCATAAAAAAACTGGAGGTTGCTGCAGGACACAAGGAAAGAAAACACATCAACTTGCTTGTTATTGGGATCGGGCCGACAGGAGGAAATAATTAAACACATTCTGAAATGTGATTGCTATAGCCACATGAATCTTGATTTGATGCATGTTGTGTGAAGCATCTGAAACAGACCACCACTAAAAACACATTCAAGACAAACATTCATCCTCCAAGTAAAAAAGAACCAAACAAAACACTGAAATAACCTGCAGTGTAGTTTCACATACAATCACAATTAGCTTTATCTTTCCTGAAATAGTTTGCCAACACTGATCGAGCCTACTGCAAAAGAAAGTGGTGCATCGCAGAGTTGTGTAAAATATTTTTAAAATTACGTGGACTTTTGCTGAGATGTCTGCAAAGGAGTCTTTGTAGTGCTGAGGAAAGTTTACTGCATGCTTTCCTTCATAAATAAGAAAAAGGGAGAGAAGACTGAGGTAGGAGAGGAGAGCTGAAGGCAAAAGCAGGTGAGAAATAAGGTGTTCTACAAATTACTTGTAGAGTCAGATTGTTCAAAAGGCACTTGGATGGAGTGTAGAGGGTGGAATTGGGGTAAAAACATATGATGAAAAACGAGCAAACTGTTTGTTTTCAGGTACATTACACAAATTATGTAGCTATTAAACTGGCTAAAACAAAAAAGCCCTTAACATAATTATAGAAATAAAAGTAGTCCATTTTCAGGTAAAATACTTCATGTTTGGCAATTAAACTTACAGAAAAACAAATAGGCATTTTAAGCGGTTGTATAAAAATAATGCATAGCCTTAAAAGCAAAAAATAAAAAACAAAAATAAAAATACACAACTCAGTGGTTCAGCGATGACAAAAACCCTTCACAATTTCAAACTTCACAATTATTTAAAGGGTGGAACTACAGCCTTGTAGTGGTAATTCATCCTGGCTCACCAGAAAGCAGTGTCACATTATCTGATTATGCTAAAGAGCAGATAGTGGTTCACTTTCAAAAAGTTCATGGAAACTCCCACAGTCAGCCGACAGGCTAGATTAAACTCTAGCAACCCACTGAATACCTTCAGAAAATCAGAGGATTTACATATTTGTGTCAAGGCTTATACTATGGTAGAGCTCAAACTAAATCCTGAAAAACACACAAGATCAGAGTGTAAAAATAAAAAAGGGGAAAATTAGTTGGCCAGTTGTGTGCATATGCTTCAGAACAATTAAAAATAAACTGAATATTACTGTTGCATCAAATGTCAATTGCAAGTTTCAAAAATTTGCCAAGATAGTTCAAGAAAAAAAAAGCTGCTGTATCCAGGATTTTTGAAAAATCAGCCACCAATCATTTCAACCACAGTTCAAGGCTGTTTATATATAAAAAGGCATATATTTGTGCATAAGACATCCTTATATTTCGCCTCCAAAAGTCTATTTTTCCTTTCAGGCTACACCCGAGCCATGTTCTATTGTCACAAAGGTGACAAACAGTGGTCGTGTCTGAAATGTTCCAAGAGGTTTACAAGAGATCCTCTGAATAGTTCAGTTCTGGACTGGAGCGTAACCCCGGAGCTGGACTCAGTGCTATATTTGGAGCAAAAGGGCTTTGGCTTGAAAAGTTTAATCCTTCATTTTATTGTCCAAAAAGTGGATGGTGATGAAAAGGTTTATATTTTTGTCTGCAAAAGGAAACTAACATGCCCATAGTCATTCTTCCTGCTGTTCATACTGGATGATCTCAGTCAAGAGCTAGAGACAAAATTCTTATTTAATGTTATATTAATGTATGTATGTATTTAGTCAAGCTATATGCATATCTTCAAATATTAGTGTTTTATTCCTTCTGTATTGAAAACCAGAGTTTGGAAGTATGTCTGCTTCTATGAAGTTAAAAGAAAAAAATGTTGACAAAAGTCATCCTGAAGGCTATGTACGTGTTTCCACCCAAAGGAGGAAGAAGTTAAAAAGAACTGGTAACAAGCTAATCAAACATGTGCGCTGTCAGTTTCCACCTAACTCAGAAAAGATGAAGTGAATTACATAGTCCATTACAACATTTACTACAAAGGATTCGTGTCTACACCCAGTAGTTGAAAACCAGGGCTTGTGTGCTGCGCTTTTACAGTGTGGAGCCACAATAGAACATCATCAACAGAATCCTACAGCACTTATTCTACATGGGACCAAAAAGTGGTGGAAACACTGAAAGAAGCAACGTGACGTGTGATAGACACCCATTAATCTTATGCGGCTCTACTCGGAATTTTGGCTTCCTTTGTTTATTTAGTTCCCGAAATCTTGTTTGAATTAAAACTGTTTTTTATACTATCGTGTAGAGCAAGATAACTTGTTCCTTTTAGGTCTGAGAGAGTCTATGGTCAGGATTTGGTTAAAGTGTGATTATGGATACATCAAGATGAAGCAACAATGGTTTTAAAATTAGGCCTGTTGCGATAAGGAATAAATCATTTAATCATGTGATAAAAAAATAAGTTGATAACTGCTCGTTTTGTTTGGGAGGAGTGAACTCTTGTGCCAGGAATTTGCCAGGTGCATGGCCTCTGACTTCTGTGGCATGAGAGAATCTTGAACAGGCATTTAGCCAGACGAGCGTCTTCAATATTCCAACGCCTTCTTTCAGCTGGCGACGCCTCAGGACGCCCTGAGTTTTACAAGAGATGCTTTTTATTTTACACTATGTAAATTTCTTAAACCTCGCACCATGCTAGAGGAAGACACATACAGAATAAATTGCTCCAGTTGGATTGAGGAGGTGGGAAGCGATTTTACAGCTTCAGCACCTTTTCAAAATCTCTGGTCCAGGTCTTCAAAGCTAAATTTTCTGCCTTATTTAATTGAGGCAATGAATAAAGTGAGTTACAGTTTACTTTCACACAGAAAAAAATGGGCTTTTATGATTGTGTCACTTTATAAAAGAACCAGTATGAACATGAAGAAATTGTCTCCAGAAATACTTTAGGTAAATTCTGGAATATGAGCATTTAAATAAAGTTGTGCAGAAAAATCTAAACCTTTCCTTCGATGGGACTCATTTGAGGTTGAACGCCAGCAGGGGTCGCTCCTCTCTTCTCTGCCAGGGGCTTTTCTTCTCCTCCTCTCCCTCCTCGTGTGCTGCATCATCATCTGGGGAGACTGACAGCAGTGTATGATCGGTCCTGAAAGTCACTCCCTTTGGTGAAGGGAGGGGAGGAGGAGAAGCAGGGGACACCGGGGAAAGCGAAGGTGGTTCCTCTTGTATTTGTACTCCTTCAGCTGTTTTCCCCTCAACATCCCCCTGTCTGTTATCCTCTGCTGTCGTTGGCAGGGTGGGTCTAGTTTTGCTATCCTGGGGGCTGCACTTCTCCTCCATATCGTCTCCCTCATCCAAGTTATCCACATAAACTAGCTGAGTGTAAGCCATGGCTGATGTAGCAGCTTTTGTTCTGTTTTTCTCAGTCTCTCTTTCCTCTTGCTCTACGTCTCTCCCCCTGCGTCCCACTCTCGGCTCGTTCAGGTCCACGCCAGAGTCCAGACTGGCGTCGTTGCTGTTGCCGTGCCTCTCGCCGTGCCTCTCGCCGCTGCCATCATCTTGACCTCCTGAACTCTGTGCACCGTTGTGGCACCCCGCCCGCTGGAGGTCGATGTAGGAGTGGCGGATGTGTGCGTTGGAGCGTCCGTCCAGTGAGACAAACCAAGCTCGTGGGTGAGGCAGAGGCTTCCCTCCTCTCAGCTCCATTAAAGTCTTTTCAGCCAACAAGGTGTCCTCTTTGTTGATTTCAACCAGAGCCGTTTCCCCCAGAGCTGCGGGAATAGACAGGGACTCTGACAGGTTGAGACCCTCCCCGTCACCCTGCTTGTTGGAACTCTTGGCGCAGTCGGGGGGAGGTTGTCCCAGGGGCTGCTGGGAATGCGAGGCATTGAGCTCGGCCTGGATGGTCTCTAAGTCGCTCTGCTGGTCGGTCTGCAGCAGCAGCGCCTGACCGGACAGTGGGTGCTCACCGGGGAGGCGCATGTAGTGTGCAGGGATCACCAGCGTGGGGCGCACTCTTGAGTAGCCTTCTCCACCGCTCAGCAGATCTACGGAGCCGCAGCAGAGCAGCTGACCTGGTCGGGAGAGCGCCTGAAGGTTGGGACGCTCCAAGTGATCTACAGAACGGGACAGAAGATGATCTGGGGCTCTGCACTCCCCTACCTCCCCTCTGCTGGGGGAGTGAGGAGGAGAGGATGGAGAGATGCAATCAATAACTCCAATACTGCTTAGCTGTGTGGCTGACACCTGACCGTGATTGGACGATGACAGCGCTTCTGAAATCTGGTGGCTGGATGAGCAGACGGATGTGTATGATTGACGGTAACCTCTCTCTGTCCCGGATGAAAGGGCAGCTTTCAACTGGAAAGTCTCAGTAGACTGGCGGTAGTCTCTGCTGCGAGGCGTCAGGTTACCAAGGGACGAGCCATGCTGGCTGTTGTTGCAGAGAGAAGAACGGCTCTGTTTGGTGTGATGGATGAGACTCTGGCGCTGATGGTCTTGGGGCTCATATGAAGAAGGCTTCAGCATTGGAGTCATCATGTCGGGCTCAGTTGCTGTGGAAACAAATTCCAGCTGCACCTAAAAAAAAATCAGAAGTGGGAAATTTTAAATTTTTTCACATAAAGTAAAATGTAAACAAAATAAATCCTCTTACAGTTTAATGCAGTCGATTGAAACACTATTTGTGATTTTTTTGTTTTGGCCCAACTTGGTTTGTATGTTGAGCAAAACGCAACCAAAACACAAAAAAGTTATGTCAGCTCTTTTTACACAAATTCTGCATAATAATGTTGCAAAGGAAAATGCCCTAATTTTGAAACTTCTGTACATCTTTGCTCATTCATTCTCATAGTGGTGATTCTGTCAGAGTGTGCAGTTAAATAGAATAAAATCAATATCGACTCTGAGGAGGAGGTTAGCGTTAGCACCTCCACCTCTGACTCAGAGGATTCCTGGGTGGGGGGAAGAGGCACCTAAACCAGTATTTTTTGATTATAGGATATCGGCCTGCCATACATTGTTAAGCCGTGTTCCCACCAAATGCGTTTTGAGCAGCCAAAGCAGCCAATTTACATGCAAAGTCTATGGTGGACGTGCATCTAGGAGCAGCGCAGCGTGTTGCGGCGCGTTTTGGCAGTTTAGAGCAGCGAGTAACGTAGCAGTAGGATGCGGCAGAGCATTTTTCGTGTATGCGGCACGTCCAAAGCAGCGGCTGCTGGAGTTCAACAAATTGAACTGTGGCTGCTTGATGCGCAGCAGGAACCAATCGGGAGAGAATATTTTTTTCAACTGACGGTTTCATGAACCCGACACAGACGGACAGGAGCCTTTTTAGCTGAAATCGACTGTCTGCAGTTGGTGTTCTGGCTGGAGATATCAGCACTGATGTGATGAGACAGCAGCTTGCTGAGCTCGGGACAAAAAATAAGGTCCCCCAGCTCGCAGCAGTGAAACTAAACTGCCTCTAAATTATCTGGTGAATTAATTATCTGCTGTGCGCAATGTTCGTTTGCTCTTTAGTAAATAAAACAAAGCCACTTTATTTTATCTTTATTTCACCCGTCATTAAAGACAGACTGGAAAAAAAATAGAGACCCTCCTCCCTCTACATGCCTCTAGTCTGGTCCCGGTGTTACGTTGAACCGCGTTTCCCCATCAGTTGCGGTTCCCCCAGTGTCTCTTGCCGCTCCGCACCGCCTACATGGCAAAAAACACGCATGCTTGCTCAGAGCGACAACTACGGATACCGTGAAAGCTCAAACATGTTGCAGCGAGGCAGTCCCAAATTTTAGATAGATAGTTAAAAATTCTTTATGTAGTGAATTACCCTATGAAACTTAGGACCAGCCTAACCTTCACAAAGATAATCCCTCAAGATCTTGCAAAATGAAATCAGGTTTTAATGAAACACACCTCTGATCATGAATGAGAAAATGAAAACTTGTGACCTGAACAGATTTCTCAAAATAAAGTAATTTATTTTAGATATATGAACAGAATAAACATACAAACATTTCTTAAAAATATTATATGAATAAGTGACACAAGTTATATATTTTCGGCATAAAAATTCCACTCAGAGTTGACACAAAAACAGTAAATTTAAGGTGTTTTAATTTACTGGCACACTGCTTAACTAGGTTTTAAGTAAATAAGAGAGAAAAAGGTAAAGATTTAGCTTTAAGAAATAGGAGGAAAAGATAATTAGTGAGTTGGCACTCGTTCTTTAAGTGCATACCAGACCAGCACATCAGCATGTCAACCAACGAGACCCTCCGGGCTAGACTTTACAGCGTTTATCTCAGCAAACACTTTTTCTACCTTTTAGACGACTTCAGTCATGGCCGATCAGGCAGACAGGTAGAAGGTTTTGAGATTGACCGCCTTGTTAAGTCCGCAGATGGATGATGTCTCTTTGACAGCTCGGAGGGAGATGCCTCTCGCCTCCCCACAACGAGCCTCAGCGGGCTCCAGGCTGGAACCAGTCAGGTGCTTCTCAGCAGCAAAACTAGGTTAGTAACTTCCATCCAGACAGGCAGGTGTCCAGCGGACACCTGAGAGAGAGACTCCGACAGAATCATCCGCTCACCAACCAGACGAACAACGAACTAGTGTTAACCGTTCTGAACAGAAAAAATTAGTTTTGAGAGGAGGGAAAAAGAGAGAAGAGGTGAGAAAGTAAATAATCTGGGCTTCTCACACTTGGTTCGGCCAGCTGCAAGTTCTTATCAGCAAAAGACCTTGAAGCTGCAAAAGGCAGACTTAACATGCTGTCTTAAAAATCACTTCACCTAAGCTTATAAGTCAAACCTTTGCATCACTGGATTAATAGTGAACTAATTTAATCATTAAATCAATAAAAAATGATAATAAAACCATGATTAATACCAGTACTAAGAAAAAAACATTAAAAACACATTTCCACTCTTTTTCCTTCACAGTGTCAAACTCTGGAATAAAGAGACATGCAAAGATTAATTCAATAAGCTTGAGTAATGATATATTGATCATAACCTCTTTTAAAAGATTAAATGAGATAACATATATATAGGACTTATTGTCCTATTCACTTAAAGAAAATAAAAACACTTTAAAATGATTTTCTTCTTATAAGTGGAAAAAATAAAATCAAAGACAAAAACAATAGAAATGTTTTTTTTTCACCAGGGTTACCCCTACATTTATTTGATGTTGAGTTTTGCCCTTTTAATTTTATCTGCTGTAAAACACTTTTGTGCTGATTTTAATGCTTCTTATATGCATTCTTGCAGCTCAAACATATATGTTTGAAATAAATACATTTAAAGTGGGTTGCACTTTTTTTGCATTTTTTTTTTCATGGAGCTGACTTTGCTGCCTTTCTATGCCTATCAATAGAGACGCTCTATGAAAAAATTAATTAAAATTAAGAACTGGGGGAAAGCATTCTGATGGCCCCAAATCACCCATCAGATACCGTTCCCCCTGTGTTAAAGTAGGGAAACGCATCCTGATGGCCCAAAAAAACCCACATCCTGAGAGCCCAAAAAACACCCATCAGATCTGATGTGTGTTTTGGGGACATCAGGATGTGTTCCCCGAGTTTAACACAAGAGGAACGGTATGTGATGGGTGTAATTGGGCCATCAGGATGTGTTCCCCAAATTAAACACAGGGGGAACAGTTTCTGATGGGTATTTTTGGGCCATCAGAATGCGTTCCCCCAGTTCTTATTTTTAATTTATTTTTTCATAGAGTGTTTCTATTGATAGGCATAGAAAGGCAGCAAAGTCAGCTCCATGAAAAAAAAACATGCAAAAAAAGGGCAACCCACTTTAAATGTATTTATTTCAAACATAGCCTATATGTTTGAGCTGCAAGAATGCATAAGAAGCATTAAAATCAGCACAAAAGTGTTTTACAGCAAATAAAATGAATAAGCAAAACTCATCATCAAGTATAGAATATTTAATTATCTAAAAAGTAGGACCGCTTAACTGCAAAATGTTGTTTGAGCTTTCACGGTTTGTGTAGTTGTCGCTCTGAGCAGAGCACAAGCGTTTTTTGCCGTGTGGGCGGTGCAGAGCGGCAAGGAGATGCTGGGGGAACCGTATCTGATGGGGAAACATGGCTCAACGTAACACCTGTTTGAGAAAAAAAAAAGCTCGCAGGTCAAAGCGCCTCTTAACTGGTGAATTAATTATCTGCTGTGCGCAACATTCGCTTGCTCTTTAGTAAATAAAGCAAAGCCATTTTATTTATTTTATCTTTATTTCAACCTTTAACAGACCGGAAAACGAACAAAGACGCTCCTCCCATTGTGCGTCTTCAGACATGTTCGGTGTGAACGGACAGCTGTTGACAAGCAGCCAAAACCGCTCATCAGGAGCGTTTTTGCTGCTCATGACACGTTTTCATCATTTGCATAAATTTGGGCACCAAAAAAAAAAAACTTAACTCAATATTTAGTAGATCCTCCTTTCGCAGAAATAACAGCCTCTAAACACTTCCAATAGCTTCTAATGAGAGTCTGGATTGTGGCTGAATATATTTTAGACCATTCTTCTTTACTAAACATCTCTAGTTCATTCAGGTTTGATGGTTTCTGAGCATGGACAGTTCTCTTTAAGTGACACTACAGATTTTCAATAATATTCAGGTCTGGGGACTGAGATGGCCATTCCAGAACATTGTACTTGTTCCTCTGCATTAATGCCTTAGTAGATTTTGAGCGGTGTTTAGGGTGATTGTCTTGTTGGAAGATCCTTAAGCAGCTTCAGCTTTGTCACTGATTCCTGGACATTGGTCTCCAGAATCTGCTGATATTGACTGGAATCCATGTGTCCCTCAACTTTAACAAGATTCCCAGTCCCTGTACTGGCCACACAGCCCCACAGCATGATGGAACCACCACCAAATTTCACTGTAGGTAGCAGGTGTTTTTCTTGGGAGCGCTGTGCTCTTTTTCCTCCATGCATAACAGCCCTTGTTATGCCCAAATAAAACTATTTTAGTTTCATCAGTCCACAACACCTTACCTCGGATTTACACTACATGCGTCTCTGCTCCACTGCGGTGCGCAGTTTTGCAGCTGTTCGTTTGTGCCCCAATTTATACAGCGTCCGCTGCGCTCAGCTTGGCTCCAACACAGAGGAGGGAGGGTGTATATTAACGACAAGTTTTATACTTCTGTCATTTTGTGATGTCACAAGCCGTACGAAAACCCACCGGAACCTGTGTTCAGCCCCTTACCTAGCAACCCCCGGATGAGACTCCACCTCCTCAGTATAAACAGCCATCATGGTGTTGTTGTGCAATGAGCAACTCATTTCACAACATGCCTCCAATAGGGCAATGGGTAGAGTGTTGGACCAGAGAGTGGTAGACCAGGGTTCAAGACCGGCACAGACACAATTTTAATTGTTTTTTTATTTTCGTTTGTTATGAACACGTTTTCTCATGTACCTCTATTGTTTAGCTTATTAAAGCCTTGTTAAAGCCTATTTGTTCGAGTTTCTGAGGTATTTTGACRGCTGCTGCTCCCTGCTCTGGTAACAGCATGCAGAGTGAGTAAATTCAACTGTTGTAAGACAGAGTAC